CGTGGTCCACGCCGCATGAGCTAATACAAGAATAATACTTGGAGTAACGAAAACGCAAAAAAAAAAAAAAAAGAAGAATGTAAAATTAAAGGATATAAAATTCTTTTTTTGCATGGGTTTGTGGTTATTTTTCTATTCTATTTTTTTTTTTTTAATTTTATTATGTTTCGGAGTTACGGAGTACTGGAGTAGATGTGTTCGGATGGGTTCATGAATGGATCGAAGCAAAACAAGCAAGACAGTGAAGAAAAGAGTCAATAGGGTCGTGTTGGTTTTGGACGATTGTCACTAAAAGAACATTGGTCGAAAAGGCAAATTAGGACCTATGAATTCTTAGTATAAAACTTGAGATTGACCTGAGTAATTATGAAAAGGATAAAAACTACTTAAAATTTAGGACTAATTATTAGTCAGAAACTAAAAACATCACTATGACACTACCTCTTTTTTCGTCGACCCTTAGCAAATTAAACCGAGTACAAAATTATTAGTCAGAAACAATAACATCACTACCTCTTTTTTCAAGAAACAATTTCATCCTAATTTTATGCGTGTTTCACAAAACACTTAGTGCTCACTTAAAATGTTTAAAATATTTTCAAAATAACTACCCGCAATAAAAGAGAAATAGTGTGTATTTGCAAAGATTTTAAGTGAGAAAAGAAGCATTTTGTGAAATACGCAAACCGAAATGGATGGAGTAACTAATAAGACTCAACCATTGGAAGATGAAAATGGAGAGAATGAATGGCTAGATTTGATGTATTTCTAACAGTTAGAGTTGAGTCCTTTCCACAACTATTCTTTAGACAAAATGCCATCACGTTAAAATTTGAAAATCATAGGCAAGTGACCTACTACTATCAAAATATTTAACCACCTAAAATATGTTAATATAATTACCCACAATAATTACGGGGATATGTTGCCTTACTATTGCAAAGTCATCCACTTGTGAGTTTTGTGTGTTAATTTAATACTCGTCTTACAATAAGGATCTTTTGACTTGAGAAAAAATAACCTGATAGGCATTTTGAAGCATCTATGGTGCTTTAATGGTAAATATGGTGGTTCCTACCCCCATTCACCCCAAGCCCTCAGCCTAACTCAAATTGACAAGCTAGGGGGCAGAGAGCTAGGATGCAGGGAGATGTGAACCATCAATTCTACCAACACAACACCGTAGGCGCCCTGGGTGCTTTAAGGTCAACATAGCCCTGGTCAAAAGAACTGTGGTGGCCTTACAATTATAGCTTTCAATTTTGAGGCATATTTTGACTCTCATCTAACTTTTCAGTTATGCATGCAAAACGCTATTACAATATGATTTGAAACACTACAAGATCAAACCACAAATAAGAGACAATCTAGCTTGGTTAGTTTTAGTGGTTCTACCATATGCTCCCAAGGAACAACCAATACTTAGATGGTTTAAAAGTAAGAACATATTCAAGCAAAAATAGTATTTCTTTTTCTTTAACTTCCAAATTTATTATTATATCACTATACTTATTGTATATGTAGTCTATAAAGTGGTTCTAATTTATGTATACAATTAGACGCGAAGCAAAGAAAGTTAAAAATATTTGTATTTTTACGAACTCTTCAACACGTGCAACATCGTGTCATGATCAATATGATGTGTATCAGATGTTAACACATATAAAGAATAAAGATAAAGCATCACATTCTTTTACTGCAATTCTCGATCTAGCAGAGAAATATACTGTGACAACAAACTGCCATAGTGAATTCAGGAGTCTCTTATGTATTGTCGAGCAAACTACCGGTGAATTATTAGCACAATTAGTGTTCCACAAACCCTAATAGTTAATCATTAGAGACAAACTACAATAAAATGGAGGACGAATGTTACTGTTAGAAGCTTCATCATTTCCATGGTTGTAGAAAATAAAAGCTAAGCCTTTACACACTGGTTAGCGGAGGCAGTTTACAAGAGATCATTTTTCAAAAAAATATGGTTTTCTATATAAGGGGATGATTCTAGTGCATCATTGTACTCAATTGGAGAAAAAGCGCAAGATTTAAGGCATTGATGATAATGAGAGTGCAAGAACTGGCATCTTTTCTGCTCTACTTACTTTGACTTTCGATACCCCTTTGTCCGGCGTTACCATTTCAAGGCATAATTAAATTGTTTTATACTCCATTCGTCCCAAAGTGTAAGCATTAGTTACTATTTTGGCATCTCGATAACTTTAGTTTATTTACTTGTTTTTATTGATCATTAGATAAAATAAAATATTCTTGTCGTGTCTTTTTTTTGTAGAACTTTTTATCTATTTTTGAATGGTGTAATTTTTACATTTCATTTCTCTGCCCATTTATAAATAAAATGATTTTAAAAGAGATGATATTTTGTACGTTGTCCGAAACAAGGCTTGCAATTTAGAACAGAGGGAATATATGTTTTCAATGTTTCAATTTTCTATAATTATTCGTATGCTAGTGTCTATTATTAAAAAATGTGAAATTTTGACTATGAAAAACTATTTTCTTCGAGTGTATACCCATTATGATTTGGTGATGCTTGGACCAAGTTATGTAACAAAAAGTTTTTAGTTGGTGTACCGAACAATGTTGAGTACAATGACAAGTAAGCATTTTTTCCTTCATAACTTGTTCCAAGCATAGCCAAATAAATTTCTCCATTCTTTCTGATAATAGACACTCATACACAAAAAATTAATAAAATATGAAACATTGAAAGTAATTATAAAATGGTATAAAATTTAAAATGGTATACCAGACAAATGGTCGACAAAAGCCCCAACAAGCAGAGCAGAAAAAACAACCGTTCTTGCAATCTCAAGATCATCAATGTCTAAATCTTACGTTTTTTCTCCAAATTTATGCCATGATGCACTGGAATCATCCCCTTATATAAAAGACTTTATTTTTTAAAAGCAATTCAATACAAACAACCCCCGCTACCTACCGTGTGAACACCTAATTCTAATCTTCTACAACCACAGAAGTGATGAAGATTCTAGCATTTGTCTTCCTTTTTACTAGAGTTCACCTTATGCTTAACCTCTAGGGTGTTGTGGACACTATGCACACTAGCAATTCACCACTAGTTAGCTCAACAGAACACAAGAAAGTCTTGAATCCACAATGGAAGTTTGTGGTCTTAGTACATCTCTTTACTGAATCAAGGTTAGCACCAAAAGAAAGTGATGATTTAATAACACACTTTATGTCTCAACATATGATGCGCATCACTTGATTGTGAGACCATGTTGCCCATGTTAGAGGATTCGTAAAAAATGTATTTGACTTTCTTTTCTTCGTGTCTAACTATATGTATAAGTTAGAACCAGTTAATATATTACATATGCAATAAATATAATCAAACAAATTAATTTGTAAGTCAAAGAAAAAGAAATGTTACTTTCCTGCCGGAATATGTTGTAACTCTTGAATCTCTACATACTAAAATATTGATGATTGCTCGCGTGCATCTGGGAGAACCACCAAAATTTACGAAGCTAGCTTGATTGTGTCTCTCACTAGTTTGATCTTTTAGGGTTTCAAATCATATTGTAAACCCAGCAGAGTTCCAGATGCATAAAAGCTAGATGGGAGGTGTAATGTGCCTAAAAGTTAAAAGATATGACTGTAAGACAAGTATTAAAATTATGTGAGAAACATAAGAGTGGATATATTTGCAATAGTAAAGCAATTAATTGGCATAATTATTTTGGGAAATTAAGTTTGTTAACATATTTAAGGTGGTAAACTATTTTGATAATAGAAGGTCACTTGTCTACTTGACAATCCATTTGATATTCAGAATTTATTTAAAGGATTAAAACATCACTGCGTTTTGTCAAGAGAATAAGAGCTGCAAGGACTCAACTCTTTTTGCATTAACTTTCACCGTCGAAGAGTGAAAAATGTACTTTCAAAGTTGGACAGCTAAGGGTGATCGATAACGTTTCAATCACCTTTAGCAGAAAACAACCCATAAAGTCATCGAGGGCATATTTTTGACCATCAGCGTTAGAATTACTTTGAGTGATCAATCAACAGCCAGAGTGATCAATTACCCCATAGTTTAACTTGTTTTTAACCCTCTTTTCTTGCATAAACTCTAATGTTTTGTTAAAGTAACTGATCATCCAAATAATCTATGATATTTTAGAGTATTCTGATAACTTTTACTGCCTCATGTTCTAAGTGTTGCACGACGGCCAAAACGGAGACTTTTCTTTAAACATTGGTTAAATTATTTGATATTCGTGATAATGATAAACAAATATGATGTATATATGCCTTAAAAACAAGTTAAAGAGACGACTTAAGTGAGATAGAGACATTTTTAGGAAGGACTTAAATATAACGCTGAAGTCAGAACCTAGAGGTGGGGAAGAAGGCTATCAGCTAAATAGGCGTAGTACAAACCCTATTGTCTGAATGAAATGATGAATGAACCACCATTAGAAAACTAAAAACAACACGCTTGTGATAAGTACAAATAAAAGCTATGATATGTGTCTGTTTTTACTTGAATTAAATATTGCTCAGTGCTAGTGAAATGCAGGGTTTTCACTGTCATTTCTTTAAACATTTAACTTCAGAAGTACATTGCAAAAATTACGGGGAAAATCATCACTAGCAAACTTTGAATGTAATAAATCAAAACTGATCTGACCTCTTGGCCTTCCTCTTCGGACGTCTATGCATCCCCAACTGTTTGAAAGGGAACGAAAATGGACGATGCAACATCCTACTTCGGCCTTTCCTCTCTGCACGTATAAATTAGATGTATTAGGGGTTTCGAGGAGGAAATTAAAAATGGATATTTATATAAACCTTTAAAAAAGATATTGGTACTCTTTTAAACATCATGTTTTATTGATACCTGAGAGAGATGATCTTTGGATTCGATCGTCTTCCATTACTTCATTTTCAGAAGCATTACACTCATTCTTATCTTGCATGGGATTACTACAAGAATTATTCGCAGGCAATCCAATAACCGAATTAACAGAACTATCCCTAATCTCTGCTATCTCAACCAAATCATCAAGTGAACCCACATTACCAAGTGCCATAGATGATGGTTCCTTTTCACTGAGGACTACCTTTGTATCAATCATATTTTCATCCATGGCAGCACTTTGCGGCTCAAGACCGTCATCGAGTATACCTGGCATCATGGACTCCTCAGCATGCGGAATTTTTAAAGCATCAGAATTCTCTGAAGGAACAGAAACTTCAGCAGACGTGAGATTACCATCTTGTACAGATATTTCAACATCCACTGAGGAATCAGAGACTGTTATTGCATTATCTGGTACGGCACCATGCCCTTCAGATTTAGAAACTCCACTATCCAATTGCATTTCATCCACTTCGATGCCATCAGAAGATATTCTTTGAGAAATCATCTGCTCTCTTTTTTTCTCTACATCGTCCATATCAATAAGAAAATCAGTTGGCAAAGATTGTGTCATAGAATCAGTTTCTATGTTTGCGCTCTCACATATGTTATGTGCACCAACATCTGTATTTTGAGAACCGGCTTGGGAATTATTATGGTCGCCTTGTCCACATGTCTCAGAAGTTGCAATAGCCACATCTATCTGAAATGCATTCAGAAGTTCTGGTGTTAACTGCCTTGAAGATAATATGTCTCTTATCTGGAGACCGTGGGGAGGGAGGCCATTAATAGCAGAGGAAAAATCCACGCGCTTCACATTACTGGAGGGAGCAGAGGCTGAGAAGAATCTATCAATGTCATCTAGTAGCAAATCTCCATCGCCACTAGAGATAGGGTCCCATTTAAGCCAATCATCAAATTTGGGTTCAACCGAATCGGCAGAAGATATTGCTTCAACCTTAATGGCACCCTTGTAGAAGGACTTCTTCCTTGAAGCTTTTTCTATAAGATTTCTGAAGAACATATAGAGCACTTGAGGACACAAACACTACCAGAAAACTTATGAGTTTAAAATTAGTTCTTTACCTACAATTTTTGGAAAGTGCTGATTTGGCATGTTCAGTGGAGAGACCAAGCAGAGATGATAGATTCACTACATCATGCGGCCCTCTGAGTTCTGTTACAGAAGGAGCAGCACTTGTAAGAATAATATTCCTCCCTCGTGTCCAATCCACCAATAGCTAAAAGTTCAAATTACTGAGTCATTAACATCAGAATATTCACAATAAATCTTGCATGATGTAAACCAACTCTGTATTTATCTAATTTAAGGTTGTGATTAAAACAGTGTCCAACACACACCTTGGCATTAGGTATCATTTGCCTCCTTGCTTGAGCATCAGTAAGAAGACTTGAGTAAGTGATCTCAAAATAGATCCCTCGCTGAAAGAAAAAAGTTCATCAAAGGTCCGATTATCGTGTTGTAAAAAAACAGACTAAATGTGTTCATATGTGCGTATGACAAGTTCCAATCCATAAATTCATCTAGTGTCACTTTGCAATATTCTGCAAGGAGTAATAACTTCATTAACTTGTAAGACCTACCATATCCAATACAGTTTAAAAATAATCTGTTTTTACTTGATAACAAAACCAAGCCTCTGAGCACTTGGATTCAGCACTCAAGAGGGGCTATTTTCTATCTTATAAGTCAGACACCACCCATACAAGACCCAATCCTTTGATATTTTGAAACACTGAAAACAGATGAGTAAACTGATTCCATCATGCCCTTCCCACGAAATGTAGTTATGACAGAGATACAATGGATGCAGATTTTGAAGTTTTACTTGAATGTGCAGAAGAGTTTATGATTGCTCGGAAATACATAATAATAACATTTTACCAGTCCAAAGTTGCACTTATTCTATCATTTCTACAACAACCTAACCAGTGTATTCCTATATTAATTTGATTTTAATCTGCATTTTGGTAAGCCCATAAATGAATACCTGGACTGCCGCTTTGACCATGGGTTGCTTCAACCTAAATAGCATCTTCTGGGAGAAGTCAATGGTAATAACATCCACCTACAAATCATAGCAAGATCAATATTAGCCATGTTTACATGCACACAGGTATAAACAAACTTGAAACTAAAAATGTAGAATAGCAGAACGATCTTTTCCCCCTTTAGTTCAATTAAAGCAAGCATCTTTAAGCTTATCGCATAACTAATCATGACAAAGCACTGACAAGTGACAACCATCACAAGATTCTGAACATGAACATGAGAGTGAAAGAAATGAAAACTAAAACAACTCTATCATCATCAAACTATCAAAGTAATCAGAATCATAACAATTCTAAAACTGAAATCAAATTCATAATTTAACCAAACCTGGGAAATCTGGCAAGCTTGATCAAAAGCATTCTGATTGAGCGGCATGACAGCAACGACATCGTAGCTCTTTGTGATTGGGTTCCCAGAGTTCAGAACAGAGGCTTGCGCAGGGCTATCAACCATTACAGTCAAGCGGGTGTACTGACGAAAGGGGGCTGAGACGGGCACGGTGAGGAGGTCACGGTGGAGCTTGACAGCTGAGGAGATGGAAGGAGAGAGCTTGAGAATGGAGGAGAGAGGAAAAGGGGGAATGGAGCAACGGTCCAATTCAGACATGACACCCTTGATCGTGCGGTTGTAGGCTACTCCGGTGTACCCTAACTCCATGGCCTTGATGAGGAGCTTGAGGCGCATGGACTTCGCCGACTTCTTATCGATGACAAGGCGGTCGGACTCCAAGTACGGGATGTTCAGGTCAAAGAACCCCATTGCAGCGGCTCAGATGGGTCGGAGAGTGTGAATCGGACTGTTTTTTGTTAAAGCAATAGAGCAGTGTGAATCAGACAACAAATCAAATTTCTTATTTATTTTTTTGAAAAAAGACAAAAAGTCAAATCTCTGCCTGTAATAGAAACTCCTAATATTAAAAAACAACTAACAAACAAATGGAGTATTTTACAACACAAAAATATGTAAATCTGAAAATTGAAGGAAACTAAAAGCTACCATTGCATAATAACATGTGAATGTACCCTATAATTTCCTAATTTTCACCATTTTGCAGGTTTGCATAGAAAAGCTATAGAATGGTTAAAACAATTGTCAATCAGAAAATAACCTGCAACATTTACTCTTTCAACTGCTTACATTTTGCCAATCTCAAGCATTCATAAAAACAATCACCTTATCATACATAAGGATGCAAAGTGTTAAACCAATTCCTAATAATTCGCATGTGGTAAATATCTAAACTCTTCCAAAATCAAAATTAACTATCAAATGAGGTTAAATTTTGTTTCAGTTGATTGCAAAATTTTCAAATAGTCATCACATCAAATTGAAAAAAGAATTAATTGAAGCCTATAATACGGAATAGCTTTATTCAATCTGCATATGATATGAAATGAGTATCCAGAATGAATTTGAAAGAAAAACAGGAATCTGACCTCAAAACTCCTACTGCTTCAAAAATGGCTTCGAGATAAGGTTTTGCGAGGAAGAAGTAACTGTAAATGGAAATAAAAAAAAGATGTGAAACTGTGAGAATGAAAACGCTAAGGCCGGCAGGAAGGAAAGACTCCAAAAGAGGCATTATAGGCAAGGGAAAATCATGTAGGGGTGAGCATGGTACGGGATTAAACCCGTACCGATACCGTATTACTTTTATTGAATCGGTATGGTTTTTTATATTGTACCAATATTGATTCCAAAATACCAGTTCGGTATGATTTAGGATAAATTCAAATCAGCTTGGGTAACTATTCGGGATTTTTTAATATATAAAAAAAGTACAACTCCAAATAAGCTAAAAGATCATTCAGTGAAAACAAATCCAAACAAAAGAAAAGCCATTCTTCAATCAACATTGCAAATGCAGCATACAAAAACTTTCACAATCACACTATGTTCTTAAATAAAAAACTTAATTAAATTCCCAAGTGCCAAGGCCAATTACTCACGCCAAAACCCAAAAGAGGTTCTTAACATAGTAGAAACCAAAAGCAACCACCTCCAACTTCCACGCCAAAAGCAGCCACAAGTGAACACAAGCCCAACTCAGAAACTTGAAAAACAAACAGTTAAGAAATACCACTTTGTCTGGAACATGTTTTAGAAGTTGTTGGAATCAAATTAGATTCAATTTATGCATCAATTTGGAATCAGATGAGTTGTTTTGAGGGATATGCACTGTACAACTTTATGTGATATTTGAAAGTATTCTAACTTCATTTTTATGGCATTTATTTTTATCTAAAGCAACTATTTCACCATGTATATAACAATTTCCATTCTTTATGGAATTTATGATTATTTTCATTCAATTAAACTAAAATATTTTTGTTGAAATCAGACTCCTTTTAAAAACACAATTTCTTGGATGGGGATGTCATTTACCCAAAAATCCACTCAAAAACAAAAATGACCATCAGAATTTTCAAACAAATCCACAAAATAAAAAAAATTCAAAATCAGTTTCAAATAAATCCAAATTAGTTTCACAATTAGATCTCAATGAGTGTAGTGTCAACTGCCAACAAATCAACTATCACATATCCAAGAAACATGCAATACTAACACAGCTCAAACATAAATACCTATCTCAGGAGGTTATAGATGCACAAAAATGAACTAAAACTGGTGCCTCAAGATAACAAATCTTTCCCAATTCACCTACACTGAAAAAGAAAGGAATTTCTATATATATGATTTAGTCATGAAATACAAAAAAACACACAAACTGACCAGAAAATCAGATATGAATCCACCATGGAACCATCACAACCAAAAATTTGACCTTTGGCATGGGTGTCATGATCAGTTAATACTCCAAACAAAAAATACTACACTCTAATTAGCAGAATTTATATTGTTTCTAAATCAATCTATTTGCTATCAGTCCCTATCACACTCAGTTTCATATTGGCTTAAAAACTCAGTGTCATATCCTTAGAAGACATGTGTTCAGTACTTCAGTTTAAGGAAAGGCCAAGGAGGACAACTTTGATACCTGAATTTCAATACTGAGAAGCTACTGTATTGAGCTCGACCGTCCAAGAAGAAGAAGTGGAGCCAAGTCAGCCAACTATGGAAGAGCTGAGGTGCATCCGATTTCAGAAATGAGAAGCTACAAATGGGTGAAGAAGAATTGCAGAAGTATCTGCATGGAAGAAGTATTGGACGGATGGTGATGAGGCTGGGCGGCTGGCTACTAAAAAAAGAAATAAATTTTGAGAAGTGAAAGAACCCTAGAAGTAAGCAAGTTTGCCGTTTGCCAATGGGATTGCCCAAACAAATATCTTAGGGTCTGTTTGGTATACGGAATTGATGGAATTGGAATTGAATTGGAATTGAAATTTCATGGAATTCAATTCCATAGAATTGAATTCACCAAATCCAATTCATTTTTTGCACTACCAATTTAAAATCCACATAATTTTTGTGCTACCAAACATCAGAAATGGAATTGAAGTCCTCAATTCCAATTCCATAGTTTGAATTCCGTATACCAAACGGGGCCTTAATGAATTTGATGTGATTCAAATTTTAATTATTATTATTATCATCAATCATCATCATCATTCTTATTATTGTGATTATTTGAATTTGAACTGGGAATGCACTCACACCTCACAAGGCATGTTTCCTATCTTAATTCAGTTCAGATCCGCCTAGTACTTCTAGATGACCTATTTCACAGTTTCAATTCAACACACAATTATCACTAATAAGTTTTATATTGTGATAACTCCGCTATTTGGGCATGTTTCAGTATCTCTGATAGATTTATTAAATTAAACTAAAACTCAGTTTTATATATAAATTTGAGTACCAAATCTCTTAGAAGCTAACATGTGTCAAGTTTTAGAGATGACATGTGTCAAGCCTTAGAGAGGACACGTGGCAAATTTAATATGAATTGCTTTCTTTTTTATTTTACTTTCTTATTTTTCATCTCTTCAAATATCACACCTTTTCACTCCTTTTTCCAAAAAAAAATGATAATTACTTATTTCAAAATTCGTGAATCTAAATATTGTGTTAATATGTGATATATTAATTTTAATAAAATATTATATTGTAACAATTATGCGTGAAAAGTTTGTTTAATTTTAATACTTGACTCAAATTTAATAAATCTTAAAATTTACAAAATGAGTTATAGATGTATGTATGCTTTTCTAGGGAAAAAGACTAAAATAGAAGTAAAACATTAAAAATATGAAAAAATCTAAAAAGAATATGAAGAATACATATAAGTAATTTTTATGTAAAAAAATCGGAAAATAAAAAGGTACACGTCAATTAATTGTTATGAGTACACGTCAATTATTTGTTCCATCATCTCTGATGGAGCCAAAATTTCACCATTTTTAGGTTTGGGGTGTGATGGAATAAATCAAAATGGATCTATAAACTGTCTGCTTCTTTAATTAATGAAGTAGCAGTTAGTCAAGCAATGCAACTTTCGACGTTGAGCCGGGGGTCTCTTTGGAAACAGCCGCTCTACTTTCGAGTAGGGGTAAGGTCTGCTCCCCAGACCCTACTCATGTGGAATTTAACTAGGTTGTTGTTGTTTTAAATACATCAAAAGATCTAAGAGATTTAGCTATTTTATCAAATGGTTAATAAAAAGATACACATCCTGATATTGGTTTCCTCATTATGGAAAATTTTTAACCAAATATAGTTTTCTAAAATAAAATAAGGATTGCATATCAATCACCTAATTGAAGATAAAATGTTTAATAAATAAAAGTACTAAATTGTGTGTCTCAATATTTTATAAAGAGAATAATAATAGGGAATACTATATATATGGTTTAGTATATTCTATAATCAGAATGGTTGAAAAAATATTGGAAATTAAGGGTGTATTTGGCTAGGGAGGGATATGTTTTTTCAGGGCCGGTCATGAGGTTTCATTGGCCTGGGCCGAAACAGAAAAAAAGGCCCTAAAAGTCTTATCCTTAATGGTCTAACAAATTCACATAGGTAAACTAATTATATTTAATTATAATTAACGCAACATTATTCAAAGAAAAAAATAAATGACAAAATTAGAGTATTATAATTACATACCGTAAAAGCTAGCCGAGGATTCGAGAAGTTCTTTTTTCTTTTTTGACTACCGGATAAATATTTAGGAGCCATAACTATTGAATTATTTCTGAAATAAAATCTAAATTCATAAATTCTACTACTTAGTAAAATCAACTATAGAAAAGCAATAAAATAAATCAATATATCATAAATTCATATCAATTCGTCAATTGTTTTTTACATTTTCAGTTTTAATTTTTTATATATCATAAATTCATATCGAATCTTCAATTTTTTAGTTTTTAATTTTTTTCCTTTTTCATCAATTTTTTTTTAGTTTTCAGTTTTTTATATACAAATATTTCATAAATTTAAATCAATTCATCCAAATCAAATAAGTAACATATAGAACCATTAATTCACTATATTTCATAGCAATTGACAAGAATTTCAAATTAATAATTAATAATTAATAATTAACCTTAGATTTTAAATCTAAAGAATGAAACAATGACAGAAAATTAAGAAATAAGAATTACAAAATTGGAAAGCTATGAATATGGAAATACGAAATACATGGAGGCTGGAGAGGGTCGGCGTCCGGCGGTGCGTCTGGCGGCGGCGGCGGCTTCTTCCGTTCTTCCGTCAGTAGTTCCGTTCGTGGTTGTCCAGCCTTTTTCCGTTCGGTTCTTCTTCCGTGGCAATGTGCGTAAGTCAAAGTCCAAGTAAAAGGATAGATTGGGGGCTTTGGGGCATTGGACTTTACACATTTGGGTGGGCTTCTTATACCCATATATATAATAAGAGTATTAAAAAAAACTTTTGGGCCCTTAAATTTATACTCCGTATTACGTAGTATTTATTATTATTTCTTATTGGAATAAGATCAGATTAAAACATAAAGAGCTTTAAATATAACTATATTCAAATAAGATCAGATCATACATTCATACTATATCAGATCAAAACTTATTCAATTCAGATCAGAACTATTCAGATTAGTTGAAAAGAACATGACCTTACACGAAAAATTAATCTCCCCATCACCCCCACATGTTTTACTATTTGGCAAGAATAATTTTTTTTGCCCAAAAACATTTTCTATTTTTTGTTAGGAACAGATTTTTTTAATTGGGTATATTGTTGAATTTTGTCTTGTTGAATATATATTACAATGTAATATCAGTTCATTTCTACATTATTGATATTTGAATAAAAATAAAGATACTTTGAGATATTTTTGAAATATTTTAGGCAATACATTTAATTTGTTTTTTATACACGATAGCTTCCAAATTTTCATTATAAAGCTTTTTTGTCTAAGCTTTGGGTGAAGGGCATGACACAAGGGAAGGAGTGAGTGGGAAGTGGAGTAAGTTTTTGGCTTTGTTCGTAAAATTAGAGCATAGGATACATTTTTTAAAAATTGAACTTTCATCAAAACAAAGTTTTTTTCTCTCTCTAAGAGAAATATATTTCTCTCTTCTGTGTTAACTATTCGGCCGAGGTTGATGGACCCTCGAGAATGTGGTTAGCTATAATATTTTATTTTTATTTTCTAGACCCAAAAACATAAACTATTTATAAAGTGAATCTTTTTATTCAAAACTGGGTCGCTGGAAAGATCTCGTGAAACGGTGACCTATATCATATAGTTTTATGTTTGGACTTACATATAAAAATTTATGAATGAAAATGATGAAATAGATGATGAAATAGATGTTACAGATCAAATAATAAATATAAAGATTTTATACTATAATAATATAATAATAAATAATTAAAAAAGATATGTAACATCACATTCCTACAACAAATATGAAACCCAAACCCCATTAGTACGGAGTATATTATACATATAGAATATACGGAAAAGTTTACCCTGAATTATTCGGAAAGGATTTACCCTTGAATATTAAAAAATGCATCAAATATCCCTAATTTTTTCAGAAATTGTACAGTTTACCCTTGAACATTAAAAAGTGTACCAAATGCCCCTGAACTCTTTGATAATTTTGGGATTTACCTCTAAACATTTAAATAAAGGCAATAATTTTGGAAAAGCGTACTTTGGAGATTTCACAAGGACAAGATGAATCATACTCGCATCTCTTGCGCGTGGGAGAACTGCACTCTCTATTTAGCATTTTAGGACCAACGGTGCAATGTTTTAAATTGTTTATGGGTATTTGGTGTATTTTTTAATGTATATGGGTAAATCGTGATATTTTCGAAGAGTTCAAGGGTAAATGATGCATTTTTCAATGTTCAGAGGCAAACTATAAAATTTTCTAAAGTGTTCGGGGGTAAGCACTGCATTTTTTTATACAACATACACACACATCTACTGGAGGATACGAGGGATTAAAGAAAAAGAACGGAGTTGCTGATCGAGGACAGAATGGAAGCTACGGAACCCAAGAGGGTTGTCGGTCGCTGCTTCGTTGGGTGGTTGAGAATTGAGATCCCTATCTCTCATTCGGAACGATAGTTTATAGATCTCCGTGCGCATGTTTGTATCACATGGCTCTAACCTTTCTATACTTATGACATAATTTGCCTCTATATGCGTGCAGGTCAAATCTTTTATGATTGATTTTAACATGCCAATTCGAATCACCCAAGACCCAGTGATTGCGGAAATCATGGGTTGTAAAGAGGTACTATATTACTATCTTAGCTTAAAAATAACGACTTTCAGGAAGTACAGCTGTTCTCAGAATGTTTGAATTTGGTCAAAGCCTTACAAGAGGGAAATGAAGCTTCTTGTCGTTCTTATTACGGTGTTCTTGTTGATGTTTGCTTGTCTCTCATGGCGTACTTTGATATTATTATTTTTATCTTTTATTCGTCGGGAGTGTAATAAAGAGACTCATTTCTTGGCAAGAAGAGCCAGAGATCAGTTTAGGGAGTGAGATTCCCCTCCTAGCTTTGTTTAAAATGATTGTTTACTTGGTTAAAAAAAATTAAATTATATTTAAAAAATTAACAAAAATAATATACTCGTTATTTGTGAATTTTGAAACAATTTATTTACTCAATTTGTGACTCTAACTGTCTCGGATTATCACTCAGTATAACCCTTTTATTTTTGTGAAGAACAATGCTACACTTACACCAAAAATTGTATCTTATTTGTACCCTGCAGTTATATACAAACATTTTAATGTTTTACACCAATACAAATGGTGGTACATTAACAAAAATTTACATAGATACAAAGTATTACTCCATATTAATAAAAATTAGTTTTACACTAACACAAAATATTAGTGCAAACATGAAAGGTAGGAAGTGAGGTATAAAAAGTTGGGTAGAAATACTTTCTGTTGTGAATGCTAGCGGAGTCAGCACGGAGCCCGTATTTATAATTTACTCTATAAATCGATCTTCCGTTTCCTGCAAGAGAGCATCGTTCAGACGTCACTCATCTCACTTTTCTCCATCTCAAATCAAGGCATCATTGTTCCGGTAAAGATTCCCCTTAAACGAATCTCATGTTTTCAATTGGGCGTGTATGGATTTCATTTTGTTTCGAATTTTCTGCTAACTGTTGTGATTGCCTGGAATAATTGGATCGCGATGTTTGTGATTTGATCTTTTTCGGTGTATTCAGGTGATTTTCCCCCCAATTTTTTGGGGCAAATTACAGCGATTGATGGGGAAAGGAGGGCAGGGCGCTGGGAAGAAAACAGGTTTAGATGATAGAATGGCGTCAGAGAATGGAGTATTTCCAGCATGGGCGAAGGATGCCAATGAGTGCTTGGAGAAATTTCAGGTGAACCAGGACAAGGGCTTGTCCAGTGAGGAAGCCTCCAAGAGGAGGCAAGTCCATGGTCCGAATGAACTGGAGAGGCACGAAGGCCCGTCGATTTTCAGATTGATTTTGGATCAGTTCAACGATACTTTGGTGAGGATTTTGCTGGCCGCTGCTGTGATTTCATTTGTATTGGCTTGGTATGATGGGGATGAAGGTGGCGAGATGGAGATTACAGCGTTCGTCGAGCCTATCGTGATCTTTTTGATCTTGATCGTTAATGCCATAGTTGGGGTTTGGCAAGAGAATAATGCTGAAAAAGCTCTGGAAGCTCTGAAGGAAATTCAATCTGATCATGCCACCGTATTCCGTGATGGAATCAAAACATCTAACTTGGCTGCCAAGGAGCTTGTTCCAGGCGATATTGTTGAGTTGAAAGTAGGAGACAAAGTACCAGCCGACATGAGGGTATTGCGATTAATCAGCTCAACCCTTCGTGTTGAACAGGGGTCTTTGACTGGAGAGAGTGAAGCTGTCAGTAAGACCACAAAGGCTGTTGCAGAAGATGCTGATATTCAGGGGAAGAAATCCATGGTCTTTGCTGGCACAACAGTTGTGAATGGTAATTGCATTTGTTTGGTTACTCTTACTGGGATGAGGACCGAAATAGGAAAGGTTCACTTGCAGATCCATGAAGCATCACAATGTGAGGATGATACACCATTAAAGAAAAAGCTGAATGAGTTTGGAGAGGTTTTAACGGCCATCATTGGAGCAATCTGTGCTCTCGTATGGCTTATTAATGTGAAATACTTCCTTTCTTGGGAGTTTGTTGATGGATGGCCTAGGAATTTCAAGTTTTCATTTGAGAAGTGCACTTACTACTTTGAAATTGCAGTGGCATTGGCTGTTGCTGCCATTCCTGAAGGTTTACCAGCTGTCATTACAACTTGTTTGGCACTTGGCACACGTAAGATGGCTGCTAAAAATGCCCTTGTTCGCAAGTTGCCCAGTGTTGAAACACTAGGTTGTACAACAGTTATTTGCTCTGATAAAACGGGGACTTTGACTACCAATCAGATGGCTGTAGCTAAACTCGTTGCCATGGGTTCAAGGTCAAGTGCTCTGCGATCATTCAATGTGGAGGGGACTACGTATAACCCTTTTGATGGGAAAATACAAGATTGGCCTTCTTGTGAAATGGATTCCAACCTTCAGATGATCGCAAAGATTGCTGCTCTGTGCAATGATTCAGGTGTTGAAAAATCAGGGCTGCACTATGTTGCTACTGGATTGCCAACTGAGGCAGCATTAAAGGTAAACTGTGGGCTCGTTCTTTTTAATCCAGAATCAAAATAGGATTATATGCTTTATTTTATAAGGATTGGCATGTACTTCCCAGTTCCCATTATATTCTTAGTCTAGATTGACATATATGATATATCCATTGTGGTATGAACCTTATTTAGCTATGATTTATTAAAACTTTTATAACACTAAGTTCACATTCATCATTTTCTTAAAAAGTTAAAAACAAACAAGTTTTGTTCCAAAATCTCGCCCTACCTATGGCGTGATGTTGGACCCTTATATCCTTCAAAGGATATTTTTTCGTTATCGTGGGCTTCTTTATTTTATTCAGGTTCTGGTTGAGAAGATGGGGCTACCTGTTGGACTGGATTCTAGTTCTTCTACAAGTCATGGTGATGCCTCATGTAAGTCAAAGGTGTTTTTTGGTTTAGCATTTTTTGGGGTGGTTTATATTTGATATTTCATTTTGGCACTAACTGAATGTCTCAAAGGTTGCTCGTCTGCATGGAACAATATTGAACGACGCATTGGTACTCTTGAATTTGACCGTGATAGGAAGTCCATGTCTGTTATTGTGAGCTCCAGCTCTGGGAAAAAGTCATTGTTCGTGAAGGTGTGTGCTGTATTGGAATCAGATTTTTTGAATTAGGGCCGCTATACCACATGATGCTTAAAACTAAGTGTGAAATCAATGAATAGTAAAGTGTTGTAAAATAAAAAAAATTATAGTTATAATTTGTTTAGAAAAGAGTAGAGTCGAGAGCCACT